TGACTCCTACTTATTAGCTACTGTAATACTGACCATTCATCAAAATATTTTGTTAATTCATTTTATATATTTATCCAATGTAACAACTGTTTAATTTTTCAAAATAATTACTTTTATTATTATAATGCTCTTTCTTCCAATTACTCAATATTATTTTATAATCACTGTGATATTATGTAAATAAAATCAAATGTACAATTGTCTATCTTTACCTCTATTTCCTTGTTACTATATTTTTTTCGTTTACTACTTAAATGGTGCACAATTATGAATTATAACTAAACCAATGCCTAGTAGTTATGTTGATTTTTAAAGTTAATAATACAATTAAACATATTAACCATGAACAATAATCATTCTAGTTAAAACATCAATCATTTCTTTTTATTACTAATTAAGTTATTTTTACTTAAAGTTCATTACATTTTATATCCTTTAAACCAACTGTCAATTTCAGCAATGAACACATTTTAATGTGATACAATTAGTCAAAATATTAAGGACATACAATTCAAGTTATTATATTTTGTTTAGAAAAAAAAAAGAATTGAAAATTGAAAAATTAAAAAGTCATACAATCAGCATTACAAAATAATTTAATAAATAATAAACTTTGAATCACATACGAGTTAAATGAAGGCTGTAGATAGTTTTGTTCAGTAATTTAAAATATGGTCATTTTTAAGATGGTTACTAAAATCGTAGTTCAGTAACTATAAGTTGAGTGCTTAGACTACTGGAATGTCGGTTCGATTCAACAAGTGAAAACTTTATACCAATAAAATAATATTATCACAAGTGGAACATGTTAGTGATTAGAAAAAAGGACCATATAGGTCAAGACAAAAGTTATCAGAATACCGAGTATTCCCTAAGTAAAACAATCTTTGCAGACAACGTTCAAAGTTGTTTATAAGAAGTAGAGTTGGTTTTCGTCAGCAAGGAGACTACTGAAATTCAGGGGGCACTGAAAAACTGTTTCATACTACGGTGGGACTCTTTAATATTGCGAAACAACGGTCTGAAAAAGACTGGATCTAGAATACTCAGTCCTTGTAGTGAGCCACTGATTCAAAATCCAAATGTTTAGCAATTTCAACTCCACTTGACTTGAAATATCGTGAAACAATCATTTAGCTTATGTCAATTCTTTATAAACAGTGCCTGTCGAATTAAACGAATCCAAATCTTCTATCAAAATAATATAAATACTTTATTTAAATGTATCACATCTGTGTGAAATTGTATTGAATTTGACTTCTAAATTCATTTTGAAAATTTCAGTTAGAATTATCAGGATATACGATCAGTGTCAATCAAACTAGTCATAACGAGTAAACAAGAAAAACACAAATCTAATACAGAGAACTTGTTGCTTATTGTGTAAAAAATAACGCAGAAGTAGCAACACAACAGGAATGAATAATACATTTGTGACTAAATGAGAATCACGTTGATAGATATCACTTGATAAGATTTATCAGAAAGAATCGCATACAATTTTCTCTACCCCATGTGTACGATTTCGTATTTACCCTGGCGCCTTTCAAGCTTCGACTAACAAGATTAAGTGACAAAAGCATATCTTACGGACGAGTCAACCAGAATTAAGAACGCGACTTCGGGGCTCCCGAGCGAAATCTAAATATCACCACACATAACAAGGGCTAGGGATAAGGTCGACAGTGTCAAGTGTATCGTAGTCAGTAATTACGCGTATGTTTTCATCTATTTAGTAGCTTCATTAAAGATATTTTGGAATCATTTCTATTATTAAATTAAATTTAGGTATGATTTCTGATGCGTTGTAATTTTTTCCATCATGACTGAAAGGGCTACACTTGAAAAGTCCGTACCATGATGGAGTTGTGTTTACGTCGGAAAAAACATGAAATTTTTCATGTAAGCCAGGAAAAATGATACAGCAAGAAACACGCCCCCTATCATGGATTTTGATAGTGTAACTAATAATTCCCACTTCATTTTGGTTGGTTGCCAGGTTCAAAGTCAAAAGTGAGAATAGGTGTTGAGTTTATCCTCACGCATAAAGAGCAGTAGAAATGCCTTTATACACCGCTGAAGACATTTATAATGGAAACGTTTCTTGTAATTATAAATTAAAGATGATAGTGTAAAATGTGTCAGATGTCAAATTGCTTCTTAAGATTGCATATGACAGACAAATCAACACCATCCTTAAATCCTAACCCTAGAACTTTTATCCTGAAGCAAACCTCAACCCGGTGACACTAAATTTTATAGCAGAACTAATTAGATAGCTTCTCTTGTATTTTCGGGCGAAATCCAATCATCCAAACAGCTATTGATAGTCTTGCATAATAGCTGATGTCCTTGACCCTGAACCACTGATCCTAATCCTGAATACCTAACTCTAATTAAGAGCAGTGTAAAGAATTTTAAAAATTTGTTTGGATCTTTTAACGTGTTCAAGAAGATGGTTCGTTTACATCGCCAACCAACCTTGAGTTGAGACCGAGATAAAACTTAACACCTGCTTGTCAGAATACAGCTTTCATAGGCTTCTTTGCCCGATAACCAGAATAGAACAACACAGACAACTTTGTAGTAGTCCAATTCTATAACTCAACTCATACAATAGTGCATAGAAAAGCTTTGACAACTCATAATCAATAAGAAATTACACTATGACGATAACGACGCCATAAGTAGGAGAGAGCTAAGTGATAGGTTCGTAATTAATCAAGAATAAACTTGGGAAAGGTAAAATATACAAGTTTATGTATCAAATAAAAGCTTACAACTAAGACAATATGAGAGTAAAACAATTCAAATCTTTAATAATTATGCAATAAAAATGTAGACCATAATATATGACTCATACCTTCTCATTAGTCCATGATTAATAGTAGGGATTGTGTTTCATGAACTAACATGACCGATAAAAGGAAAGTAACCTAGTCTACCATCCTATCGTAAATTTGCATTAACAAATTTTTCCACCTGAGCCGCCTACACAGATGTATCTATGCTTGTGTATACTATAGGGTGTAAATTTCAACTTCATCTATGTATTTCAAGTATGCATGTAATGTATACTTGCTCCAAAGATGGTTGAGATACTTAACATGAACAGGTAGGGAATACGAAGAATGGGAGTGGAGACCATCTTGCCCTTCTAGTCATGGTATTTATGCTTATGTGTATGCTGTGGATTGCATAGGATTTCATTTGTATATTTCAAGTGTGCATGTAATGCGTACTTGCTAATATAAAAATATGAGAGTCCCTCTTACCCACTCAATTAATAGTAAATTCTAACCAGTTATTCTTTGTGATTTATAATCATATGGTTGTGCACTGAAAACATATCCTAGCTCGGGTATATGTGGCGCTAAAGAGTAGAAACATTATGCAGTCTAATAGGTATTAAACTATTTTTCTAGGTCAGTTTGATTTTTATCGATCACCAGTCATCTTACTTATTAAATCAGCTATAATCATTGAATTATCGGTTTGTTTTCGAAAAAGGACTTATCATACTTCTGACTTTTTTTTCTCATCAATTACAGTTGACCTGTTATCTGAACAAGGAGAATAAGGCCATAATAAGTAGATTTATACCTCGGTGCATTCAGTTTGAACATCATGATTTCAGCTCCCAACCAAAACATCTAGATCGAAACAGCTATAAAATATTGTACCATAAGTCGTCGTAGGTTACTTATTGAACATCCATACAGTTTTATTCTGTTTATCTTAAAAGTTTTACTGAAACTGTGCTAACAAAACGATGCCACCAATATCAACACTGGTGTAGATGGAGATCATCTTCATTTTCGATCTAATCGATAAGATGCAAGGTATATATTCCAATGTCAAAACGACTCAATAAAATAAAACATTAGATTATTTAATAAGCCCAGTGTGCAAATTATTTCTTTTCTAATAAAACCAAATAGTTGCATTCATAGTCTAATTTTATCAACTGAAAATATCAGTAATAAGCAACGTGGGACTTAATAAATGACAAATAATAGAAGTAGTAACAGTAACAGTGTTAGTAGAAAGCATCAAGCATAGATAATATGACTCAAAAAGAAAGAATAAATTAGTGAAACAGAAAAACAGGAGATAATTTTAAAGCACGTTGATTAAATTGAGATTAACTCTGAACCATGTCATTCATTATTTCCAGAGACTGGTTACGACAATCAAGCGAGACAATCAAAATTCGGCAAACGAGAAGGCCACGTTGTGAAAACCAAAGATCTAATTGAAAAGTGAGTGTTAGTGGTCAGGAAATGGTTTTGTTTTCGAAGAAGTAGACATACATTTAGTGAGTGCTCATGATCGGTTTAGCCCAATAAAATTCCTCCTTCACCCTCAATCCTTTCACTTAGTAGCTGGGTGTGGACCTGAATATAGGGCGTTCTGTGCATCATTTTCAGTCTCGTAAACGGCAGATTATAACAAATGGATTCATGGACTGATCTCAAGTCTTGATTTGGTTGCCCTTAGCTTTCTTTCAACCCACTCCTCCGACAACAGCGAACATCATGTGAACTGACAGTCGAAAGTTTGGATATATAATGAATGAACTTACCATTATCGATTGTGTTGATATACTTCAGTTAATACAAAACAAATGTTGTACTCGCATATTTAGAAATGATTGTGAATCCTTAGTAAAATTCTCATAGACACAAACATTTGATAGTCAGATACTCGTGAATGAATATTTTAACTACTCAACGAATAAAACAAACAACAGACAATTATCTATCTAGAAAAAGCATTCTGGACATATTCACAAATCGATATTAGCTAAGGAACCAGTGAAAACCACGGGTTATTACGTATATGTTTCGTTTTAGTATGCAACTCCACAGAAGTCTACACCTAGAATTATTAGCCATTACGTTCTGAGCATTGAGTTAATCATCAATGTTACCAAATTCACTCAATATACATTTAATCAATACTAACACATGCACACAAAAATCGAAAAGAACAATTACATTGTATTCGGACAAACAGTTTTTAGAGGTCCAGAGTCAGATTGGAACTTGCCTCCACCTAAAGCTGAATCATGTGAAGACATGGAATTCGGTGATAAGTCAGAACAAGATGATTCCCTTGTTGTTGTTGTTGTAGTTGTTGACGTGGAAAGAAGAGAATCTGGTCGAAGTGAATTACAAGATGAATTATTTTGTGTTTGGCCAAGATCAACAATATTACTATTATTCGATATATGATCAATTGGAATATTTGGATGACTTGGTGTTGGTGGTGCGTCCAAAGTAATTAACTGATTATTATTATTACCAGTGGTAAAGTCTCCATTGACTTGAACCATATTTGGATAAGAAATCTGTTCATTAAGAGCTAAAAAGAATATGGGAAATCAATTTAAAAGTATGCAGTAAATAACATTGTGACATTTGACTTGAAACTGATTATTTAATTTAAATATATTTAAATATCGAAAGGGCTTAGTAGGACTGTGATTACAGTTACAATTCCCTTAAATCTCAACAAGGTTGAAAAAGACAATCTGAAGTAAGAGAAAGTAACGAGGCCCAATGGTTTAACCCGACTGTTGTTGCTACCTTGACGTGGTGGTCGGGCTTGCCTATCGTGATGAAGCAACCGAGCTATACTGGCTGGAACAACTGTTCTTCAAGGTCCTACCTTGCCAGACAGGTCGGTTGAAGAGCGGTAAGACTAAAAGCAATAAACCCAAGGTCCAAAGGCGAAGTCGTACTGTTGACTGTACAGAGGTGTGACAGCAGTAAGGTGTTTCCTTCAGATAACCAGCATGACAGCGATGCTGCCTTCCCACAAGGAGGGGTGATGTTAGAAAAGGTCGACCCTAAAAATGCACACCTCGCCTTATCCCACGGATATCCGTCTCCGGCGGTAAGGTCTCAACAAGTACGGAGCTAACACAAAAATTACCCATAAAAGGGTCGTGTGTGACCGACCTCAAACAGTTGTCCCTTGGGCACTGCGGTCACGCTCCCAGGTCCTTTTCAGGTACCTCTAGAACAACCCTTCCACGGTGTGGACAACTGAGAAGTGATAAACGCCCTCATACCTCTAACAGCACTCAAGACCACTGTATTCATAATCATCCTCCGTCTTCACTTCCTATTATTGCTCCTACATCTACTTTCACCTCTAAACTTCCTTTTTCGGCTTCCCCCTCAAGTGTCACCATAGCCAACGATTCTAGTGCTCAAAACACTGTCCTAGGTCTACTGAAACATCGCTCCAAACTACACATTAGAGCCTTCAACGTACGCACCCTATGTCAAATCGGTCAACAGGCTTCCTTGGCTAGAACCCTAGAATCTCGTACCATTGATGTATGCTGTGTCTCTGAAACACGCATACAGGATCCCAGTGTGGTAATTCACTTGACCTCACCTCGACAAAACGGAGAGCCAACGAGATACACCCTCTGTGTATCTGGTGACCCGACGGCCAGCTCTCGTGGACTGACAGGAGTAGGGATAGCACTAAGCAGGAGGGTGGAACAAGCATTGTTAGAATGGATCCCCGTTAACAGTCGTTTATGTGCTGTTCGGCTAAACGGCTCCGTAAGAACCCGGAAGGATAGAGACACACGTCGTTGCCTTTTTGTCGTTTCTGCCTACGCTCCCACCGACTGCAGCTCAGATGAAGTGAAAGATGAATTTTACAGAAAGCTATCTGAACTTCTTCAGAAAGCTAAACGGTCAGACATAGTACTCGTAGCAGGTGACTTTAATGCCCAGATAGGTAGTTTAAACCAAACAGAAAGACATTTAGGTGGGTATTTTAGTATTCCGGCACAACGAACAGATGATGGTGGTCGTCTGCTGCAACTGTCCACAGACAATCATTTATTTTTAGCAAACACAAATTTTAAGCATAAGGAGAGACATCGTCTAACATGGATGGATTCTCGTAAACTCATCTCATCAGGCTCTAAACACAATGAAGAGCGAAAACAAATCAGATCTAGGTTAACCAAAAGTCTAAGGAACGACCGTGAGCAATGGTGGGCAACGAAAGCAAAAGAGATGGAAAAGGCGGCGGCTATAGGGAACACAAGACAGCTCTACAGACTATTAAAAGAAACTGGAATTAATAAGTCAAGTGTAAGTCAGACTATTTCGGAAAAAGACGACACCCCCATCTGCTCTCAGTCCAGACGTATAGAACGATGGGCGGAACATTTCAGAGAACAGTTCAGCTACTCTACAACTACCCTCCACTCCCAAACAGTGTGAATGGAACATTGAAATAGGTCCCCCAACTCTTGCTGAAGTTCAAAAGGCTATAGCTAATCTGAAACGAGGAAGGGCAGCTGGTCCAGATGGATTGACTCCAGAGGTCTTTAAGGATGGTGGTCCAATTTTAGCGATTAGGTTGACTAATATTTTAGCTAAGATCTGGCAGTTAGACGTTATCCCATCTGGCTGGTCACAATCACTTATCGTCCCAATATATAAAAGAGGGTTAAAATCATCTTGTGACAACCATAGAGGGGTTAGTTTAACTAATATAGTATCTAAAATACTAGCCTCGTTAATTATCAGACGCCGAACTAAGACTCGTGAACTACAAACTCGAGAGAACCAAGCTGGCTTTAGACCTGGTCGTGGCTGCATCGACCACATATTCACCATTCGTCAGGTTCTAGAACACAGGCATACCTATCGGCGTCCGACGATGGTGGTCTTTCTTGACTTAAAAGCAGCATTTGACTCTGTAGACCGCGAGACTCTGTGGCAGTGTCTGTCATTGAAAGGCGTACCTCAGAAGTACATAAATCTTGTGAAGGCTCTTTACTCGAACACTACCAGTCGAGTCAGAGCTTATGGCGAACTGTCATCTGCTTTTGTAACTTCATGTGGTGTCCGTCAAGGCTGTCCACTTTCTCCATTTTTGTTTAACTTCATCATAGACCTATTGATGGAAATAACATTCTCGTCTACTGAATTCCCGGGTATTGATCTCCTTCCAGGAGGTCCACTTATCGACTTAGAATACGCAGATGATATAGTCCTGTTTGGTGAAGACGCTGATAAAATGCAGAGTCTTTTGGTAGCACTAAGCAACAATGCCAGAATGTTTGGAATGCACTTCTCTCCCTCTAAATGCAAGTTGTTGCTTCAGGACTGGTCTGCGTCAACACCTGAACTAAGGATAGGGAGTTGACAACTTCACTTATCTTGGAAGTCTGATCAGCCCTAATGGGTTGGTGTCTGACGAAATCTCAGCACGGATTCGAAAAGCTCGCTTGGATTTTGCCAAATTACGTCACCTGTGGCGAAGGCGAGATATCCGTCTATCAACTAAGGGACGAGTATACTTCGCGGCAGTCCGTTCTGTTTTAATTTACGGCGGCGAAACATGGCCATTAAGAGTAGAAGATACTCGTAAGCTACTAGTATTTGACCACAGATGCCTTAGAAATATTGCTGGAGTCTGCTGGGATCACCGGGTAAGTAATAGTGAGGTTGGACCCAGGGTATAAGGAAATGATGGTAAATCAGTTGATGAGGTGAATCTTCATCGAATGAGATGGTTAGGCAACGTGTTGCGTATGCCTGAACACCGATTACCACGACGTGCAATGCCAACCGGTGTTGGGGATGGTTGGAAGAAAGTTAGGGGCGGTCAAACCAAGACGTGGCATCAGTGCTTGAAGTCAATAACTTCTAGTCTGAGCCATGTTGGTAGATGCAGACTACTTGGTTGGGGTCCGCGTGACTATCGTAACCAATGGTTGGAGACTCTTGGTGACATCGTTCAGAATCGATCACAATGGCGTCGGTGTATACACTCTCTGTCTTCCCTTAGACTAAGAGATTAAAATCGCTTCATATCTTTGTTTCTACGAACTAATTCTTTCTTCCTGTACTATATCCTTATGTGCAATCTTTTTTTACCACCTCTGAATCAACTACTTTTATGAATCCGGTGTCCATCTTGTTGTGTTAATGAGGTATGGCAACTTGGACCGATGCATATATGTGCCCGGTCTTATGTTGTAGCTGACTGACTGACTGACTAAGAATTTTAGCCCAGTTGTAGCTGAGAACTGGATTCAATCTTATCTGATTAGTTTCGATCGCTGGTTGTCAGTTATAAAGAAAAATCAGTTCGATCAATGAAATGTTTAAAATATTAGCGTCAAACTTCCTACAGGCTTCGCACTCGATGTGTATATAGCACATTACGCATATAACCTTTTCCATCTTACAAACCTGGACACAATGTCTGCTTCATGTCAATAATATATTGGAAAAAAATAAGATTTATTCACGTTACATATACGGTATTTATAAATGGAACAGTACTCTTAAACAGCAGTAAAATGTATTGTTATATATCATAACAATATCTAGATCGTGTACTTCACTCTTTGTGAAAACCACTAATTACCATTAGACATATTACGGAATTAAGTATTAACCAGTCAACGCAGTATATTGTATTAATATAGCATATACATAATTGAACCTTAAGTGAAGCTGTATGGGAAATATATCGATCTTGAAACCAGTACACTTTAGATTTTAGTTATGCTGATCGCATTACAGTTATTTGTGATATCAAACTGGGAGTATTTTATTATATAATTTAAACGTCAGTTGTGTTTTGTCAAACACTTACTTCAGCGATAATACACATACTACATTAAATAATACTTGAAGATCAAACATTTCCAAAATTAAAACAGGACAAAATGTTTGGATTTTATATAAAGAATATTTCATTTAATATATATATATATATATATATATATATATATATATATATATATATATTCGTCCGAACATCATAATTGTATAGTTTAAAAAACTGTCTACAAAATGATTGACCTAAGGCATCTTACGGAATAGGGTGACAGACGTATAAACACAAGCATGCACATCTAATACAAAACATAGTGAACAATGTAAGAAATGGAACTCCAAACTGTGATGGCGAAATGTAAATCAATGAAGTGAAGAAATAACAGTACTAACACTAAGAAATACTTAGAAGAATAATGTTTATACAATAAATAAATAAGGTCCATGAATGAGAGAGAAAAGAAGTCGAATAATTACCAGTAATATAATTCATAAGCAGAGATCTACTGAAGAAAAAAAATCAGGTGGAGGAGGGAGGAAAATTCAAGGAACAAATTAACAATCACAAAGGTGCAACCATAATTTTAAAGTGATAGTAAATGTCCCCTATTTAAGAAGACGAAACAATCTTTTTTTTCAAAGAAAATGTGCAAAAAGTTTAGAATGACTGATGATTCACGTTAGATAATATTGATAAGAAGAAAGGAATGATAAAATAATTTCCCCAAACATGAAAAGAAGACAGAGCAAAAA